GATTGGACCATTTATATTGAAATTCTTTCTTGCACTTTAGCTGGGGAAGCTCCCCGGAACACGCAATGTAACACAGGTTATTTTGTACCCTGCTTCCTTTCGCAAGGGAGCAGTTGAAAGAGGAGGAATAGTTGGCTTAAAAATCAGCCTGATTCTCAGGGATGAGCATATAAAACTCAAAAGAAAAGACTGCTGTTTGTAGATCAACAGATTCTTTATTCCATAGCAGCTCCATGCTGCATTCAAACGGGAATCATTCACAGGCATCTTCCAATTCCAATTCTCATTGGTCTTTGCAGTGCCTCATGCAACAAAGAGCCAAAAGATCAATTTGTTATATCATACATTATTTCTACAGAACCTATACTCTAAGTGTGACAGTGATACTTTTTTTTAATGAATGGACAAAGATAGGGTTTTCAGAGAACAGTTTTGCAGTGGTGGAAGGAATTTTAGGAAAAGCCATTAGAGCTCTATTTTATTATGTGCTAGCAGTTATCAGGTGCTAGTGTCAATTAGGAGAATATCAAGAGGGAACCATGAATTTCAGATACAGGTAGTTGATAAGCACAGAATATGCTGATAAGTAACATTTCTGCATTAAATGAAACTGATACTTCCAAATTCTACACTGAAACATTAATTTTTCATTTAACTTATGTTGTCTTAAGACAACAATGGTGGAAAAGTTCAATAGTGCTGGGGCAAAAAAAAAGGGGGGGGGAGTTATTATTTCCCTCTCCTTCCATGCAAAATGAAAGGCACTCTTTGTTAAAGAAGGAAAGCCCCGTGAAGATCTCAGTGTGGAATGAAACATTCTTCCCTCCCTTAGAAAATGCATGGAGATCCAAGTTAGGAACACTTATATTAGGCTCAATATACCTCCAGGGCACCAGGATATGAAAGATTGATGTAAGCTGTTTTCAAAAGTTCTTGACGTCATTTCATTCCAGCTGGCCCAATCCCAGGCATTGTTCTTTAACACTCCTTAAGGTACCTGGGAAGTGGCAATTGTAGAGGTGGATATTCTTATCAGTAGGTATTGGGCAAATATTTACTTCTGGGGCTCTGCTTTCCTGGTAGGGCCACTTAGTCTTTAACAGCTCATTATTAGCAGATGTTTTAACAAAGTTTTAGTTATCATTTTATCCTGAAATAGCTTGCCTGCTTTTCCCTCTAGTACAGGCAAATTTAAGTTGGGTGGACTTCAACTCCGAGGATCCTGTCCTAGTATTTACAGTGTAGACCAATTTGGCAACTACAAAAAATGCTTCTTGTTTTTCCACACCCTACTGATATTGTACTGGCCTTGAGAATCAAAGAGAAAGAAACAGATTAAGGTCTCTTATTCTATGCTGGCTATTCTGTTACAAAAGCAGTTTCCTGTGATGCTCTTAAATCTAAACTCATATGAGTTAACTTTGTTCCTTTTAAACAGTTTATTGGACTGACAGTGTTTATAAAATAGCCCAATGTGCAGCTGCAGCAATTATTTAAACAACCTGTATATGTGCTGGATCCATTTACACAGGGCTTTTCTGCATAGCAGCCTCAAGCTGCTTCACTCTTATGTTGGAAATGAAGACAATTTAAGAAATCCCTTTCTGGATTTCTGGCCCTTCCTCTGCTTTTGCCTTGGAGATGGCATGTTATACTACAATTACCATGGTGGATTCCTATGCTACTGTAATCCTTTCACTTTTGCTGGGAAAGCAAGCACTAATCATTTTCCTTTCCATGGGTGGGACATGTGGACGTGTGTTTGAAATATCTTTTGTATGAGGATCCTTTCCCCGGCTCATATTTGACATGATCCAATCTAGTGTCTTCAGTGATAAAGTGGAAGATCAGACCAACCTCCATATTTTACCATTATTTCTATTATTGGGGCTAGAGGGGAAAATGGAGAGCTCTAGTCACCTGCCTTTTTTTTAAAGGCATGTGTTTTTAAAGGCCCAGGTGTTTCACTTTAGTGGAGGGGGTAGTGGAGGAAAGAAAGCTCCATACTGACCATTCTTCCTGTCACTTGATCTGGAAGGAAAACTGGCAGAACCTTTGTCAATGTTGCATTTAATTTTTGTCAATTTTGCAGTTGTTTCATTTCCCCCTCCCATCAGCATACTTGTAAAACAACGACAAGACACAGATCAGCCTTGTGACATTCCACCATTATATATATATATTTTAAAACATCTTTCCGCATTTCACAGGCCCACAGAAGTTCTCCTGACAAGATTATGTCAGAAGTTGACAAGCTGTGGACAAAATGGCCATGGTGGGAAGTGATTGGTGACTGGGGGGGAGGGGGCCTACCTGCCACATCACAAGGTACCCAGCTGGAGGATAGGTGGAGTGCTTACAAGGAAATGAGATATGACAGGTGAACCAGACAGCACTGCTTGTGCTGGCACAGTAAAATGCTACTTTTGATGTGTAGCAAGAAAAGAGGCATGGTGGGGTATATGCCTTCTTGGTGGGCTGGGTGTGGGTAGAAGACAGTATCATGCATTCCTTGAGAAACCACAGCTTGTGTTTCCACTGGGGAAGTCTGGATGTGCATATCAGTCCACAATCCATTGCCACAAGATTCTCCCTTCAGGGTACTTTAAAGTGTACAAACATGCACACAGCCAGACAGTGAAAATGTTTGGTTAAAAGCAGTTGAGTGTAAAAGTCTCCCCACCACCCCTTGTGTATTTTAACACTTCATACCTTTGGTTGTGACAATTTCACATATTATAGAGAGATAAACATGGTTTGGAGATTTGAGTATAACAACTCCATTGCCAGGTGGGAAAATACCACAAAGGACTAAAGAAAGGTAAGCGTTTTAAAAACATTCTGAAGAGAGAACTAAATGATTATCATTAAAAGAGCCTGGATTCATAAAAATTTGGAAGAAAGGAAAAGTGATGTGTTGTGATGTCCAGACCCTTAATTTGAGATGGAATATTTGGTGTATAATGATTTTGAAAAGTGGAAAGAATGGCAGAAAAAGAGAATGACAGAGACAGGTGGTAATTTGGCTTACTACCGTGTTAGGCTTTGGTTAGAATTATACTATGAACTCTCCCAAAACACTGCCAAAGTTTTGCACCATCTTTGTCTCTGTCTCTCCCCCACCCTTCTGTCTCTCCTCTCCCCCTTCTCTCTTTGTATCAATCCAGTGGCACTTTTACCAAAGCTACTGTGATCCTTGCAGCAGGGCTTAAATGACTCCCCAATTCTGATTAGGTCAACACTTAAACACATTTGTCCCATTATTGGGGTACCAGTTTTATCTTTATCTCTATCTTCATGCTATCTAAAATAGGTGAATTCTGCCTGGTTTTGTCGCTCTGATCAAAAGATGTTATCTATAAAAAAAAATGACATCTTTTTTCTCCTGTCTCTTTACTTCTTGACCCAGAAAACCTTAACATCCTTGCCAGAAAAAAAAGCATTCATTAGTTGTCACTCACTATTTCTAAAGAGAAAGATAATTAGTTGTTGGCTGTTTCTTTGAAAGGATATTTAGTTTTTGACCTACATTTTCAAAGTTAGGTGTGGCTATCCATTTGGAAACCTTCAATGGATAATAAAACTCTTTAGATGTTGTGTCAAATTGTGACATTAAAGAGAAACTAATATAAGAAGCGAATAGTTAATAATTTGCTGGCCTTCAATCCTTCAACATAAGGGTGTATCTAAGGGTGAAATCAGAGGAAATGACACTCAAAGATGAGAATTCATACAAAGTTCTAAAAGAGCACGGGTGACATTATAGAAAATATTTATTGCTTACATGATATGGACAATAAGCTCAATTGCCTTAGCTTACAGTTTCTGGGTCTTTTGCTACTTAAGTGGATTAGTATATGGCTTAATATTTCTTTTGAACTCAGGTTAAATATTTGAATGATCTTTTTGGCTGGCATCTAATGCGAAACACAAAGTTTCTAGACTAGTTTCTATAATCAAAATGGATCTGTTTCAAACACTTAATGTAATATTCTGCCTTCATACTTAAGCAAGTACTAAGAATTTAAAGAACAGGCTACAGGGACCCTCAAGTACATATGGCAATGCATATTTAATGGGCTTTGGCATCCTTCAGTAATGTTGGATGAAAAAAAAGAATTCAGAACTACTTTTGGTAGACAGAAACATCAAGACAAAACTTGTTTGTATGAAATAGAACGGGAGGATTGCTTTGGAAATGAAGAAACTAGGATGTTGTATCACATATATTAGATTTTTGTTCTTGGTTTTCAGTAGCAGTATTTTAGATAATAATGCTCCAAACTAGATGGGGTTTTGAATTATGGTTGGAAGAAAATAGGAAATTTGTAGAGATGGTATAATAATGCTATTAGAGACGCATGCTGTATTTACCGGATATAGCTTTTGCATTTTGAACTGTAGAAATTTTGGACAATTTTCAAAGACAAACCTATGCAAAAATACATTGTGCTACGTATGTTTGGATCTTTCCTTTTCCTAGAAAGAGTGCAGCTAGCACAGTGGTTCTCAACCTTTTTAATGCCGCGACCCCCAACCGGTCGTAAGTCGAGGACTAAACCAGTCGTAAGTCGAGGACTAAACCAGTCGTAAGTCGAGGACTACCCAACCGGTCGTAAGTCGAGGACTTTCCCTGCCCGGGAGTGCCGCGCATGCGTGGTTCCGCCCCCTGCACCGGCCAACGCGTAGCTGGCAAGCAGCAGAGACGGAGCAGGCCGACCACCAGCTGGCCCAGCTCAAGGGAGTTAAGGCACCCACCGGAAAAGGGGGAAAAAATGGCGGACAGCCTTGCTTGGCGACCCCCGTGAAATGGTCGATCGACCCCAAATGGGGTCGCGACCCATAGGTTGAGAACCGCTGAGCTAGCATGTTGTATCACTAAAACTGCAAAGCTACACTTAGCTACATTTTCAGTTTGATCCAGAAATCCTTCCAAGCAAAACACCTGCTCATTCAGAAGATAATACAGATGGTCCCTTGTTTAGCGACTGCCTCATCAAATGACTACTCACAGTTCCAAGGGTGATGTAAAAGTAATTTTGTCTGGCAGAATCCAGGAAGAGAGCCGCCTCTGCCACTGCCCCCAACCTTTGAAACAACTTACCCTAAAGGTGAGGTGGGCCCCCATTCTTCTGACCTTCAGAAAGAGTGTCAAGCCCTGGCTCTGCCAATCAAAAAGTTTTAGGCAATCCTGGGGATGGATGGTGTTGTGAGGGTGTTCTCTCCATTTTTTTTAGCTTTTTAACTTTTAATACTGTAACCCTATATTTTAATTCTGTTTTTTTAATTTCGTTTTTATTTATGCTTTTATAATTTGTGACATGTTCTTATTGTAAACTGCCCACGTCCCTTCAGTGAGCTGGGCAGTATAGAAAGGTGATGAATAAAATAAAACAAAAACTTTACAACCAATCCCTGCATTTACTACCACAGGTCAGTAAAGCAAAGGAAAGCTGAAGATCATAAGCACAGTTGTGGTTTCACTTAGCAACCACTTCATTTCATGACCAAGTTGCTAGTCACTCAACAAGGACTACTATACGGTCCCATTCAGGAGACACAGAATACTGAATAAGCCATTCCACCAAGAAACGGTACTTCTGTCTTCCTTGGATTAAATCTGTTTGTTGCTGTCTCCACATTTCTCATGGGGTAGGTTCTTTGTGTCTATGATGTACAGACTTTCAGATATCAGTTCAGTTACCCTGTTACCCTGAGAAAGCCAGCTTCCTCAATGATATGGCTGCTCCTACAGCTGTAGTATAGTTTGCTGATAAGCTTGATCAATGGTCAAATTCTATGGAGGTCAAAGTTGAAGGAAGAATTGCAACAGATATGCTTTGGTACTTTATCTTGATCTATGGTAAATAGCCCCCCCCCCGAGGGGAGGGCTTGTTTATTTGAATAAACATCACATTTAAATTTTCTTCGGCTATATGAAACACAGAACGAAACCAGAGGAGTAAAGTTCCCAGGCTTAAGATTTGCACTGCTGTGCATGTGTGGAGCTGTACTTGCTTGATATACAAATTATTTGATCAAAGTAGACCAATCAGGACAGGAGCCTTTATGATTAGTACTCACGCTTAAATTTATATAATGTATTCATTTTGCAATCCTCATTTTATTTATCCCTTGGACAACATCATTAGACAGCCCTTTTTTTACTCTGTGAAACAAGGCTGAGAATCACAATTTGCTCAGTAACACCTAAAGGCTCCATTCTGACCTTTAGGTGCACACTCCAGATTTTCCTGGAAATCCTATTAAAGCTCAGTTATAGGCAACAGACTCAGGTGAGCTGCGACTCACTTTATGAGTAAGAATAATTGAAGAGTAAAAATGAATAGACAAATCAGGTAAACCAGAAATTAAACCAAAAATCAAATTGGGATTGAAGCACAAGCCAAGAAGTGGGGCTAATGAGCAAGTCAAATGTTAAAACTGAAAAACAACAAAAAAATGCAGAAACACTGCAGATTTTTCTTAGTCCAGGCAGGTTTAGCTGGAACAAACAGACCTTTTATATTCCTTCCAGGGACCAATTTGGGTGGGTAGAACTTTACCTGAGGATATTTAACTAAGAAACATCAGTTATCAGTTTGGTGATTTCCCATACAGGATAGCTGCTGGCAATCCCACCACCTCCTAACTGGTTTGCATCAGTGACTGAAATGTAGGATACTAAAGAACTTAAGCTGCAGTATTTCTTAGTTGTTTTTTTTAAGGATAAAATAGCAAACACATGCTGCTGTAATTGTTTCAAATATTTATTATTTAACTTGATTTATGTCCCTCCTTTATTAATTTATTAGTAACTCAAGGTGGCAAACACACATAACACTCCTTCCTCCTCCTATTTTCCCCCAATAACAACCCTGTGAAGTTGGTTGTGCTGAGAAAGAGTGACTGGATCAAAGTCACCCAGCTGGCTTTCATGCCTAAGGCAGGACTAGAACACACGGTCTCCTGACTAGCACTTTAACCACCACACCAAGCTGGCTCTTTATTTGTATTGTTAATATTCTTGTTTGTGCTGTTTCGAGTGGAAATAGAAGAAAGAAACAGTAAAAAGAACCATAAAGAACCCTCCCCCCCCCGGATTTTCTAAGTTTCTATAATGACTACTTATTGGACCAAGTAAAAGTGTATCAATATAGTATTTCTATATTTTAGTAGTAGTATTTTAACCCATGATCTTTAGTTAAAAATCTGAGGGACTATTTATGTACATATGGGTTTATACACAAGGGCCTATTGAAAATGTGGGTATTTTTAAAAAAGTATCACTGTATGCAGGCAATCCTTGATTTATGACCACAACTGAGCCTGGAATTTTGGATATAAATTGGGGTGGCTTTTAAGTGGGTCACCGTGTGATCCTACGTGACTTTTTGGTCAATTTTACAATTGTTATTAAGTGAACCTTATAGTCATGAAGTGAATCCAGTATGGGTGTCTTTTGTGGTTTTCTGTGGAAAATGGCAAAAGGCATCACAAATTGTGGTCACATGACAGTGGGACAATGGGCAACTGGTTATAAATGCAAGCCAGTTGCCCAGTGCTTGAAATGCGGTCATGTGAAAGGGGCGGTGCGATGCTTTATGATAGTTGAAAGTGCTTTAGAGGCTGTAAAGCACACTTTCTGAGGCCATTATAACTTTGAACAGTCATTAAACAGCCGGTCATTAAGTGAGGACTATCTGTACACTCATAATTAAGCCCATCTATGGATAAGCCAAACCTGATTTTTTAAAATGCATTTTGGTATCTAGAATTTAAAATGCACTTTGGTACCTATATCTGTGAATATATACAGTACACACACACATACACATACATATACATATATGATTGACTGGAATGTAATCATATATTTTTACTTTTAATTAAAGAGAAACAAATGTTGGATTTGTTTATCCCTAACAGCTATTTTCTAGAATGTTGTCAAATGCTCTGTGTGGCCCTCAGCCTGGATGAAGCTATTGTATTGTTTAATGATCATGTTTGGAGACAGTTTTTCTATCCTGTGACACAAATGCTGATAGTGGCAGACTCAAGGGATGCCAAATGGATGGATTTATCTTTTGTGACAGGATTTGTCCCTCTTTCCTCCCCAGCCTGGTGCCTTCTAGGTGAATTGGGCATTCTGTACTTTTATCTTCAGAAAATTGAAGCAAAGGCAGTATTGCTTTGAGTCATCACAATCTGCAAGGCCACAGAGCTTAGATAACAGTAGCCACCCACATGAAAACTAGTTCATCGTGTATGTTTATTGCAGGGCCTGGATTAAAGGTGATTATATGCCTGACTTTAGCCCCACACCTTTATCTCTGTAATGGCAAATATTTTGAATGCATGAAACGGCTAACCTGCTTTTGAATTAATGTTTTTCTTTCATTCCCAACTGGACCTGTGTACATTAGGTTTCTATATCATGCCTCATCAGTAAATATTTTAAGTGCCGCTTTTCTTCCACTGCGGTATATAGAGAAGTGATAATTGAAAGAGGACAAGGCTCCCACCTCTTTGAGAAAAATTGTGATTTAAACATTAATAACAGATACACTTTGCACTTTAGCATCATAGTTTTAAAAGTACTCGAATTGCACATTTTTGTTTACAAACCACCCTGGATAAACTTCTGATTTCATGAGTGTCTTATAAAAGTTAAAACACTACAATACTTAATAAATAAAGTGCTCCTTCAATTCATTTGCCAACTGCTACTTTTATAGGAAAAGCAGCTTTAAAATGCAATGCTCCTTGATGCTTCCATTATTTAGTGCTCTTTTAAGTTTTAAGTTTCTTTTTAGAGAAACTCATCTGGAACTCTGTGTGGCTAAAAGTTATTTGTGAGCAAAGGGTTAAATACTCCCCCCCCTCTGTTTTTCTACTACAGTACCGCAGACCACCTCTTAAAGCTGTTTTCTTTTCTTTTTTTATCAATTAGTTGTCTCATTGTATTATGTTTTTGAGCATAACATGTATTCTATTGAAAACAGGAATAGTCTGGTAGTATTTACATGCTAATGAAGTCTTTTTGCTGATCACCAGAGAAAGTGCTCAAAGCGTGCTTCTCTGGCAAGTAAGTTACAAAGGCAGAAAATATATTTTCATGCGTGTGGACTTAGAACTGACTGCAGTAGGTTGTTGCAGCTTTCCCTGCTTATCCAGGACTAGGGGATTCCTTGCTAACTTTTGCAAGAGATGTTTAATCTAGTCCCTCCCTTCTGGTGTTATGTGTCAGCTTGTCCTTTTGTGCCTGGAAGGATTTGGCTCCACTGATTCTCTTGTGCTGAAAAGGTATTGCTCACCTGCCCTGCTTCTCTGACTCAAGTCAAAACAAGTAACACAGTTTCTTTGGCACAACCAGAGTGAGGCAGTGCTGGAAAGAGAGAAGGAAGGGATTGGACATGTGAACAAAAACTGCATGCAGTTGCAGTGACTTGGATATTAGGAACAAACCTCTCCGATTTTCCTCTCAGAAACAAGTACCTGGAAGCAAAGCCCCCTTAAGGTAAGGCTGCTTTTTCATTCCAAAAAGGTGGCAGGAGGGCTGGTAACTGAAAGCTCATATTGGCACATGTTAGAAAACAGCATTTTGATTTTGTTCAATATATGACTTTCCAGTTTGTTTAAAAATCCTCAAAGGATAAGTGGAAATCCATTGAAACCCATTAATTGCAATGATGAGTCAATATTTGGGTTTTAAATTTAAAAGAACGGGAACTTTGATTAAATCAATTATACTAGTCTTCTGTATCTGGATATGTTCATATATTATTGAGATTCTACATAGAAATTAGCAACAATTATAGAAAAGTCTACATACAGATTGCTCTGTAAGCCTTACAAGTCTTTTTGCTCTGGTCAGTGACAGCTTCAACAGCTGCATGATTATATTTAATTGTGTAAATTACGGTACTTGTAATTTTTTACACAGATTACTTTTTCTTGGCGAACGTGTTAACATGTAACGTGGACTCTAGACCCAGGAAGGTATTCTGTAGTTCCTTCAATTCATTTTTGTGTCTGGAGGACAGGGCAAAAAGAGAAGGCTATGAGATGGACAAACATCTCAATGGAGCCAAGACAGAAAAAGGAAAATTCAAAATTGCTTTTTATATTTAATGCCAATATCTTGGATTTTTGGATCGGAGGGAACATTCTAGGGTCACAAGCAGAATTGCTTGGATGTAGCAAGATGAACAAGAATCTTTGCTTTTATATAGCCAGCAACTGTGATTAAGAAATGTATTGGGAATTAAATCTGCATTGCTGAATGGCAAATAAAGGTCAGGGAAATCTGATGGCCTTATCAATAGGACATAGCAATAACACAGGTATAGAAATTGATACGTCTGAACTGTTTCATCATGCAGCTTCTGACTAGCTAGCTTTCCTCATCATAGACTTGGGCTGTGTTATCAAAGTTCTGTAATAATGCATGATGCTAATTAACCAAATAATTGGCATCAGCATATGGCTAACTCAGCAACCTCCATATTTTTTTAAGCTAATTTGTGACCTGTCAGTGAAGACATCAAGTCTCCCTGTTCCTTGGTCATGTTTTAGTGCTGCTTTTCCATTTCTCAATACTGGCTTACTATCTATGGCTGCATTCAGTTCCCAGGTTGTGACAGACTGGTTCCTAAGTCTGTCTTTAAATCAAATTTGTAGGTAGGTCAGAATGGTTATTTAGCATTAATTAAATGTTTGTCTTAGTATATATTATATATTACAGTTTTCATAAGTATATATTATAAGTTATAGTTTCACATGCTCCATTATTTTCACTTTATCCTTTAAAATTGTTCCAACTGTTGACCTACCGTAGCCTAATACTTTTCTAATGATTGATGCTGTTTCATATCCTTCTGATTACTTTGTTATTTTCACTTTATTTTCAATCATGATTAGTTTTCCTTTTCTTTGATGCATCCCCAATGCTTGCATTGGATCTACACCTTGGAGGCATGATTACCAGAGTAAATAAGAGAAAAATGTAAGCCAAATATGAAGTTGCATAGTCAATGCAGTGTTAACAATAGTGTGATCTGACTTAAACTGGCAAAAATCCTTCCTCCTGCCGATGAACCATTGAAGCTATGTAGTGTTTTCATGTGAGCATCATAAAGTGTGTGTTATTATGAAACATTGTATTTAACTCAAATGTTTAACATGGTAGGCTTTATGACAATCTGTTTGAAAATACAAGTTATCCATAAGTCAGACATTCTTATGCTAGGGATTGCCTATATCATGTTAGTGCCATATCATGCAGTGAGATCTG